CCCCCCCTCATGTCGACCACTGATCCGGTGCGCACAGCGGACGTTATACGTGTTAAACGGGTGTAATACTACTCGAACATACTCACTTGCACCATTAATGTTCAATGGAAACGCGATGCCGAACGATAGGTTAGCCTTTTTTTCGCGGTTTCCGTAAACGGTCGCGATTGATTGTTATCCGCGTCCCGCTCGACGTAGCTTTACGCATTATGATTGTAATATTTCACAGAACGAATGGTCGTCTCCCCTCCCCTCCTCCCCCAGATAGTTTAAGTTTACGTTATGCATACGTACAAATGTACAAGTCAAAATGTAATCGAGGTGAATAATGGTTTAATAGACGCGTACCGCTGATTAACTTTTAAAAATACTCAATATGAAACTCCAACGGCACATTCGTACAGATTCGTACTTCGGTAAGATGCATCGCGCTGAAACGAAATTAAAAGATGAAATACGATACATTTATACAGTTGCATAAGTGCCGTTATAACCATCAGTAACGCCATAAGTTCCCCTCCACAACAATTTCTTTTGTAAAATTGACTCTACATTTTCAGCGTATAATTTACCTAATTTTTTAAAAAATATGTCAAGTGAAATTATCTATCAACAATAGTCCATCCTTCGGTGGTACGTGTACATCACTGTACGGGTAGGCATGTAACACATACCATTTACATAATTTTGATGTTCAATAGTGTACAACACACGATTCGATAGGAACATTCTTAGATATTTCATTATGAAAAGAAATTTAACACCTACCTAAAATATAACACTGAATTTTATCTATCATCAATGAATTTTATGACGCCTCCTAAATTCGTGGTACTTTGGACGTTCTAGGGCACTTGCGCCGTTTGCCCACCTCCTCTTGGGACGGCTATCGCCGCTGGGGTGAGAATATCAGCAAAAAGTATCATGTCACGTGGATGTAACTTAATTTGTCACGGTTGGTAAACTTGTAATCGAAACTTCGGCAGGAATTCCTGCACGGATGCTCGTAGACTTTTAACACAGAAATGCGCACCTCTCTCGACGGAGGACACCCACGCACCGTTGACCCGATATAAAAAAACACAACAATTCCATTGCATACTACATACCACGGGTCCGTTCAGCCGAAACCGTGGCCGATCGCAATATTCGGTTGGTTTTTATCGTCTTGCGACGATTCGCGATTTCTCCGAGCGTCCCCATTTGTCTTCCTGTCACTCGGTCGCCCGCGCGTTTCCGGGGACACTCGCGACGTGACTACTTCGCTGCTGTGCGGGCGAACGGAATTACTTCACCGTTGTACATGTTGACATAAGACTACACTATTATACAAACGTTTGTACGGCATGATTTTTAGTAAAGACCCGTGGATTTCTACCGAGGGGGGAGGGTCGTGAGTGATAATCTATTGGTCGCTAAATAACGAAAAACAACGTAATTTCGCTCCAACAATCTTAATAATTGATTATTTCTTGAATAACTTTCCGAGGAATCGCCTCAGCTAAAGCAAAAACGGAAAAGAACGGCAACGATGAATTGCAAAAGGTTCTGAGGAGACCACTGCGGTCGCATGTACTGCTATACATAACAAACGGATGACACCGTAGAAGGTGTGCCTGGTTACCCATTTTCGGTTACCGATATTTTTAAACACTCATGTTCCCGTGCCATCTACTACGTGAAAATAAATTAAATTATTACTAATCAAAACGCAAACACCTACTATATATACGTATATGTATGTGTATATGTATTTACGTATTCGATACTTGATATACATACGAAAAAGCGATTAGGAATAAATGTGAATTTGTAGGGACCTAGTCTAAGAGACTACGTGTTGAAAATATAAGCACCTCCAAAAATATACGGATAAATAGTTTGTAAATCGAAGATTTAAACATTTTAATCCCAATGGACGTAGCAATTGATATACCACGGTAATATAATGTTATTACTATTATTATTATTATTATTATTATTACTACTAATATTATTATTACAATACGTTGTAGAAAAACACTGTAAAACAAGCAGTTAATAATATGTAAAATATGTTAATGGAATTTTAAAAAAGCTGATGTTTATTGTTTTTTTTTTTTTTTTGTTTTTATACAATTTTATTTCGTTACCACCTTATATTTTGTCATGTGTTGTTAACCATACCCTATAGCAACGAAAAAAAAAAAAATCCGAAAATTAGCAAAAAGCACGACGTGTGTGTGTTACAGTTGTGATGGTGATATAAATCTGTAGAGTAGGACGCTGCCACAGTCACAAATCGCCAATAGAAAATGAATTATGGCGTATCCGAGGCTTCGTCATTACAGGTCCCGATCATCATTCACATCTCCATAATTTTTGTCTGCATACTTTTTATTTAATTTTTAATTTTTTACATTTTTTTTTTTTTTTTTTTATATACTTTCTTTCATCTAGACGTTGACATTTCCAGACGGAAAATGACACTTTTCAAACTATATTTTATACTGTTTATTGATTTGTTTATCACGGAAAACACGGCGGAAACTGACCGTACGAATTTTGAACGCGATGGTGACGGCGTCATCGCTCGCATTGTTACGATGACGGCGTCGCGATTACGAGTACTGTGCAACGTTGTTCACCGGCTTTCGTACGCGGCAATCGCGACGTTTCTCGCCCCCGCTAACGTTCTAATCGCATACGGTTTTAATATCACGTGTTCTAACCACGGGAGAAATCGAAATTATTCCCAGACCAACATTGCCGTGACGATTGAACGAGACACGTTTCGAGCAACGCATAATCCACTGTAAAAAGTAAAAAACAATAATGTCACCCCAGTTGTGCAAAAAGTTAATATTATAATACGTACGATAATCGTGTGGCGTTCATGTTCTCGCGGAACACGCGCGTTCGCTCTCCGGAAGTTATTCGCTTGGACGGAACGTAGAAAAATTGCTCAAGCAAATTCTCCTCGTCGTGTATTTTATTTCGTTTTTTTCTTCTCGTTCGATAACGTTTTCACGACCAATATACTATGATATAACTGTCAGGAAAATAAATAATAACAATTCGATTATTTCATTAATGCCTCATCCAACTCTCCGTTTCGATCGTTGTAGAAACCTCCGCGTCGAATGATGTTTTTATCGATACTCGAACGGGTGTATAATTATTTAACAGATACTGTCCGTGTGGTTTCCACGAGGCGCTCTCGCGTACCATTTAGTTTGTTCTATTCGATTTGCCGTACAAACAGAGAATTCACATTTTACCTAGCGCGCGCTCGAAACGTGTCCAACTAGACAGTTGTAGGTATTATCGAACGTGTGGGTTTACATATTTTTCTTGTTATTTACCCACGCTGCTGCGGGTTGATTGCATTCCCAGCGTTGAGTTCATTAGACGGTTGAAACGTGTCTGATCTGGGAAGGGGGGGGGGGGCGAAACCGTAGCGTATTAAAAATAAAACGGTTAAAACGTAAGAATAAAAACGAATAACTATTTCTAGTGAAAAAATTACCTATAAATATATGGATAGATTTATTTTTTGCCAAACAATGAAAAGAATTTCGGGTTAGGATCGAGTTGCGTTTGCTTTCGCACAGCAGATACGCCGTTTTCGTATACCGGACGCGCGTGCACTTTCCGAGAGGGTTTAAAACCGTTTTAAAACGTACTGATAAAACGTTGTTCAGCGCCGAGTTCGCTTTCGATAACTCGGAGTTATTGCTAAATAATTATTAAAAATAAAATCGCTAAACGTCGATCGTAAAAAAAAAAAAAAAACGGTCGGTTTGGTGATTTTCATCGTGCGCGTATCGAGCATCGGTCGACGAAGACGTTTCGAAAACAACGTTTCACAGTACGACGTCCAAGCGCGTTACAACAAAACGAAACGTTTCCCGCGTGGGCAAAACATGTAAATTCGCTCGTGTACCCGGGGATAGTTTTCCGTACCGAAGGGGTGGATCGGAACGTTCGGACCGATTTACGATTCGATTCGTCCGCGACGATCCTTTGGTCGGCGCTGCGCGTGTCCCGCTCGTTCGGTTCCGAAACGAATCCGTTTTCTCCCGATCGCGCGCAGGGCCGAGACCGGTCCCGGGATACTTAATCCGCTTGGATTCAAATATTTAGATTATTTCGCACCCGCCGCAAAACCATTTCGGAAACGCGCGCACGGCCGTCAAAGCCGATTTCGGGGGGAACACTGCGCGCTCCGGGTCTCGGACCATCTCGCAGCCGATCCCCGAGATTTCCGAGGCGTCCTCCTCATCCGGTACACGGGGCCCGTCACAGTTTTCCGTCTCTGTTTGCATGCCCACGTCTTTATGTATGATACGGCATCGCTGTCGTTGCCGTTTTGATAGCATCGCACATACCGATATCGGTTTTTGTCGGCGGTCGTCCGCGCGCGCAACGCGTACGCAAACATGATAATAATAGCAACGTGTTACACGCATGGTGAATGTTCAATGGGTTTTACATTCGGCTGTTCCGATTGAATAGAGTTTCCGCCCTAAGCAACGGCCGAACGACCGAAAACGATCTTCTAACCTATACCGGTGACCTGTACAAATTTTGCCCGTACCTACGTACACGCACCAAGTTACACATTATACCGTTTTCGCGTGATATCGACGCTACGAATGAAAATATCGATATTCTAATCGTTGTAAACTTACTTTTCGTACGCGATTTTCAATCCGAACGATTCCGACGTTTCGATGTTTCATAAAAATGTCAGAAAAATTAGTTGGAAAATAACTTGAGCGGAAAAAAAATTAAGTGTTTTTTATTTGAAAAACAAAAGGTACATGACACTTCTATGAAAGTTTACAATAAGTGTTGGAGAATATAACGTCCGTGGAACAAATGCATTTTCCATGAACTGAAACGTGTACAGTTTCGTGATAAAAACATAAATGAAAAAAAGGTCCGGGGACGTTTGAACAATCACTATGCGTATGTTATTATGATGTTGGAGTACGTTGTGCACGGGCCGCAACCGACAGTTCTGATTTATTCGTTTCAGTTGTTTTATGAACTTTTCATCGCACCGATGCAAATTATATATATATACAAATATTATACACCGTATAAAATAAATAGTATAATTTACAATATAGACGCGTATATGTATGTATGTTTATATGTGTATACGTAGGCATATCTCGTTTATATATGTGTTTGATTTTTATTTTTTGATATTGAAAACATTTATCTCGTTGAACAGTTCATCGAATTTTGTCCAACATCCCTTAAATTTAGCCGAACACAGCAGCCTCACGGCAAGTATAGTTTTCGCAACGTTATCCTTGAACAGTTATCAAATTATAAACAATATTCCGGATAGTGAAGACATATAATATTATGATCTCACATTATTTTTATCAGAATTGGGTTTCTAATGTATTTGAGTTTATAGTATTTTGTTTCATTTGATTTACCAGAAAAGAGATACGCTCATATATATCATATTTCAATATACATTTCTGTAAAAAATAAGAAAAATAAATGAAAACATTTCAATAACAAAATTCAAAAAAAAAAAAAAAAAAACCAACTTATTGTTACAAAAGATGGTAGTTTTTATTTTTTTAACACAATCACAAGCTTTACTTTGTGCACGACTGGTTTTGCTACTTATCAATAATTCCGTAACAATAGTTTGTGTAGTTAGTGAACGTAGTTGTTATTTTTTTCCTACGTATTCGATTGCATTTAGCTAACTATTTTCAGCCTACCAATGTAAGTATATTTATGTGTACATGTATACATGTATATATGTGTGTTACGGTTAAAAATGCGATTTAAGAATATAATGTGATTTCTTCGTGCGAATAGCGATGATATCGGGAAATCTGCTGGGGATATTATCGTTATTGTCGGGTCAACAACATTAACGTCCAGATAACATCGCGTATCGTATCGCGGTACCAAGAACGTTGCGAAATGGACAAAACGAGGCGGACGATCAATTTTAAATATTCATGAACATTGATCGCGCGGCTACGTACGGACATAATGTTTCGTTGTGCAGTAAAAACGCGGCAACTGTTTTTAGAACGCGTAAAGGACGTGTATCGTCAACGAATAAGCTCGACGCCCATAAGGTGCGCGCGCGGGGGGGGGGGGGGGGGGGGGGGGGGGGAAGCGCGTCGAAGCATCTGGGGGGCGCTGCATTTCTTTTTCGCTTTCCTAATATCGTGAGGGCGTCTGCGAGGCCGGGG